CGAAAATTCAGATTACGTAATAATACAAAGCTACACTGGCGTTTACGTACACACACATATATTGCTGATTCTTTCAATTCTTTCTCTCGAGAATCTTCTACATCTTTGGAGAATAGGCGGGAGTTTCGCAATACATATTTAACACTAAACGTTATGTACATTTCTAAATATAAATTTAATTTAAACAAACATCGATATTAAAATAAATATAGAATAATAGATCCGTCACAATAGCTAAACGACTCCGAGAGTAAGTCATAGAGACCGAAGTAAAAGAAAGATGGGACTCGTTAGTTTTATGATAAGATGATAGTTAAAATGATAAGATAAATATGATAAACTGATAAGCTAGTAAACGTCTTTTTTCATGGGGGCGGGGAACAATGGTCCAAAGTCTATGTTAAATTAGATGTGGGGGAAACCGAAGTACCCGGAGAAAACCCACTTTCACGGTCAAACACCGAATATTCAACTTGACCAGTGCACGAGCTGAAATAATGCGAGTTATTAAATTTAGATAAAGAGATAGGAGTAACGAATTGGTGTTAAAGTGAAATGACGTAAAATTAATATTGGTTTAAGATGGCAAGAAAGTTGATGATATATTTAAGGAGGGTGTTGCTGTGAGTTTGGAAAATTCAGATGTTTGTTCGTTTCTGTGGGCGGATTAATACTTAGAAGCTAACTTGGAGATCCTATTTTTCAGAGTGATATGTCACATACTTTCTCAAGTTATTCTTGCAGGGTGTAGGTGGGAGGCGGTATGCTGTTTCGACAGCCTTATTTTTTGTTGCTGTATTTTAGACGTGAGTGTTGCAGGAGACGGAACAGCCGTATTCGAACAGCGGTCTGATGTATGCTTTATATATAGTAATTATAGTTTTGCTCTGGCAACTTCCGCTCATACCACCTGAACGGCGAAGACAGGCAATACGTTTATTGGTACTAGTGAGAATGTTATTAAAGTGATTTGACCATGTCAGTTTCTTATTGAATGTTAGACCTAGAAATTTGATAGTGTTTGTGAATGTGATGGGAGTATCGTACAGTTTAAACTGAACTAGAGGATTTTTTGGGCCTTTTTGCCAATGCTTCGGGGAAATTGAGATTTAATAGGGTTCAATACGACTCTCCATATTTATTGCACCAGCGGATAATAGTGTTAAGTGGATCTTGGACTTTAGCTGCAGCAATACATGGATCACGTGATGTACTCCTAACGGCTACATCGTCAGCGTACTGGACGCTAACGTGTAGGGAAGAGAGGATACTGGAATGTCTTTGACGAATAGTAACATGTATATATAATATAGAACTAAGTGCTTATTCTTGGGGCAAACCTGCGTTAAGTTAAAATTTAGTCGAGATTGCATTGTTAATTTTAACTTGAAATCCATCAGATAATAAGTATGGGATCATTATTCGATTATATTCGTTGTGCCTTACAGTATCGAACGCTTGTTTTATATCAAGGAAGACTGCAATAGTGGTGTGTTTTTGGTTGAACCCTTTGTTGAAAACAGTTCCGGTTAAGCGGATAAGATGATTAATGGTTTGCCTACGTTTACGACTAGCATTTTGAGTCTTATTGATTATTTTCTTTGATTCTAATTAGAACTAAAAAGTAACTTACAAGTTAATTAAGCATATCCTATAAAACAACTGACAAAAATCAATACACAACAAAACGAAAACTTACAAAATTAGAATGCTTTGAATTGTTAGTTGAGTACCCTCACTTTGCAGTCGTAATATAACATATCATTCTATTTTAGACCTTTAATACGGAATTTTGTATTATTTTCGTCAGGATGGCTTTGGATACAGTGTCCTGAGGAAAATATTAGGACAACTAGGCATACAGGTCTAATACCAGTATTAATGGAAAAGTGATCTCTAATATACTTCTTCACTTCATATATATATATAGTTAGCTTACTCTAGATGAGAAATTAATAATAACTAAAATTTGATTCGGGTACACAGCTTACTGAAAATCGAAAAAATATTAAATTCTTTCAGTTCGTTAGTATGTCAGATATTTGTCGAGATTCTCAATTTTCATCCTGAAAGCTCACTTATGTGAATCTTGACACGGATGAAGAATTTTAAGGACAACAGAATAATGTATACTATAACCGTTATTTTATGTTTCAACCACTATTGGTCAGCATCTCATAGGACTCTCTTATTATCGCTAGAAGCCGGGTTTCGATACCCGTGGTGGGCAGAGCACAGATAGCCTTTTGTATAGCTATGTGCTTAACTACAAACAAACTCTTGTCATCACATGAAATTTTACAATTATGTTACATTTGAACCTAAAGTATGTACCACTAATGACTGTTTGTTTGTTGTTAAGCGCAAAGCTACACAATGGGGTATTTGTGCTGCATCCACCACGAGTTTCGAAACCCGATCTTTAATGCCTTACGTCCAGAGACTTACTGTTGTGCTACTCGGGGCTACTACTACTGAATTTGAATTTCGTTATTTTGTAGTTTATAAAGTATTTGATTGATTGAGCTGAATATTTTAAAGATATTTTAAACGTTATTTATGGTATAATTTATATTAATAAATTCATTCACTGTCAGTCCAAATGCTATACATAATTATACATACACACATGTATATATATATATTAATTGACTTTTGTAATTGTAAACTAAAACACTAATAAATATGCTCTACCTTTTTTTCTAATAATTAAAATTCGAGAAATAAAAATCTAAACAAAGAAAACAATGCCATAAGTCTATTATATTTACATTAATTTACATAGATAATACGTTCACATCCAGGTGTTGTTAGTTTTACTTTCATCGTGTTAATGTTATATTTCTTGCTGTCCATTCCAATATATAGTTGGTATATTGACACATCTGGACCACTGATGAGGAATTTTATTGGAAAACAGAGCTGTTACCATAGTTACAATATCTCTATGTGTGTACCATTAGGAATGTTTAAAGAGGGGGGACAGGCGGCTGAAGGTTGAAGGTAATATCAACGATAATACATGTTTGCCTGGTTCATCTTTATTCACAGTGGTTTCTTCTTGTAAGACACGACCACTGTAGAATTTATTTGTTATGTTTATTAAGCCAGCGCCTAGGCCAGGGCTGGCGAACCTTTTTGAGAGTATGTGCCCAAATTATCGATAATTTTCGAATTAATTATTTCGCCTGCGCATGGGAATTTTGAACATCAAAATTATTGTTGTTATTCTTAACATTGAACGGTAAAAAAAAACAAACTTGGAACAGCAGTGAGTACCGCGTGCCATAGGTTCGCCAGCCCTGGCGTAAGCTAACTCTCGATTTTGTCTTCTTTACCTATAAAGATAAATTAATGTATACACATTTAACTGAATAAACAGCAAAACCGCCCGGCATGGCCAGGTGGTTAAGGCACTCTACTCGCAATCTGAGGGTCACGGGTTCGAATCCCTGTCACACCAAGCATGCTCGCCCGTTCAGCCGTGGGGGCGTTATAATGTGACGGTCAATCCCACTATTCGTTAGTAAAAGAGTAGCCCAAGAATTAGCGGTGGGTGGTGATGATTAGCTGCCTTCCCTCTAGTCTTACACTGCTAAATTAGGGACGGCTAGCGCAGATAGCCCTCGTGTAGCTTTGCGCGAAATTCAAAAACAAACAACTCGAGTGCCCTAACCACCTGGCCGGGCCAAAATGGGGGAAAAATAGAGGTATTTTCTGTGTTCGATAGTGATCATTGTTACTACTACAGAAACTAATAAGATCTTTTTTACAAAAGTTATATATATGAAAATATAGCGACGACAAAAAAAAGGGTAACTTACACAGGGCTTCTGTAACTACAGTCGCTTCTTTTCTCTTCCTTTGTGCATTGTTTTGAAATATATTTATTTTACTTTTCGAACACTACTCGTGTATACATTCATCGTTACTGTTTACACGGCACACTATTTAAATAATATACTTTTACCCTGAAATCTTGCCTTTTTCGGTTAACATTTGAACTACTTATAAAATAATGCTTTAAAACAAACAATCGAAATACAGTTATTTGAAAATACTTGTTAGTATTTCTTATTCTCATCACGCTCAGGATACAATATGACTTTCTTGTCTAGCGACTGAAAGACATGTAACGTTCATGTTAATCAAATATTATGTTTGTAGTTAAGCACAAAGCTACACAAGCGGCTGTCTGTTCTGCACTCACTACGATTATCAAAACCCGGTTTTTAGCGTTATAAGTCCACAGACATACCGCTGAGCCACTTGGGGGCCTAATTAAATAATCATAATATTTCAAGTAGTTAAGGTTTAGGTTTTAAAGAGAAAATTCTTGATTTGAAAGCAGATTTTATACTTTTTGTTTCAGTGCGTAGACAGACAGAACGTTTAAATAAGTGTAATCACGTTTTAAATTTAACATTTTGTATTGATTAATTGTGTCTATTTTTGTGACAGAAATAAATTGTTGTTTTTATTCATTGTGAACATTGCATTGTTTCTTACTTTTACATGTTGGCCTAGAGAAGGAGATGGTCACTGCAGTTCGACAGGACAGCAACATCCACCATGAATATTATAACAGCTCTCAATGAACCATTGTTAGCTACAAACAATTCTGATAACTCATCTGAAGTTACCCACAAATATCCGAAGCACTAATGTGTGCATAAAATGTAACATAGCACACCATGCTGAAGATTAAGGATTCCTGCTTGACCTGTCTAAAATACTGCTATTCATCTAGAAATAATAGGGTTATGGATTTGTTAATGACAGTTCAATACTAATAATATCGTAAAGGTCTCATGCATTGAATATTTCTAATAAATCTGCATAAGTTATTTTTAAAAGTTTAAAATAGTCGCACCCACCCAACAATGGACTAAAATTAAGAAAGAGTTTGAAATCTAATGTGTTAAAGAGCATTTTTTGAATAAAATATCAAATATTATAGTAACGAAATCCACAAATATTTCATTGCGTTATCAACAAAGGTATGCTCATGATTCTTTATAAAAATCCTTTAAAATATTGCTACAAGAATATATGTTTCTGTGCTAGTATTCTAACACAAGTTTCTGCTATACGCTATACAACAAACGTAAAAAAATATCCGTAAATTTCTTCAATATTTCTTAAACTAATTAAAAATAGATTTAGATAATAATTCAGAATATACAATCACTTGAATAAATATTTTTTTTTTCGATTAATATCTTATTTTTCATTAAAATGTTCAAAAATATGTCATATAAGTCTTCTGAATAAAAAAATAAATTTATATTCATCTTATTCTTCAAGTTGTAGCTTTCCTTCTTTTTGTTTTTGAAACCGTATTGTGAACCCTGAATCAACTGACATTTCTTATAGAAGCACAAATATTGAGGATTGATTCTGTCCTTGTGATTTTTTGTTTTTAGAAACAGTGTAAATTTCGAACACCTTGCCAAGACGACGAGCATGCAAGAGCAAGCTTATAAACAGCAGGTTTGAAAAATATTTTTTTGTAATACAAGCTAAATCATTATCCCTTCCTTTAACATGCTTTCGTCCTTGACCTTGAATATAAACAGGAACAGAGAAGCAAATTTGAATTTTGTGGTGGAATTTGTAAGTTATTGATTGGGCCCGATTTCAGTGAGCCAAAAACTATTATGTACTTAGATATTTTTTTGTAAAGTTTAGTAATTAGCAGAGTAAATAATAAAGAAATAAGGAAGTTAATTCCATTTAACTTTATTTATCAAACATAATGTCGAAATTAGGCTTAATTTAAAATAAATTACATAACTGAAATTTAAATACAACTACATAAATTATTTGTAACAGATTTGAACTTAGTTATGTTAAAGAATGAAGCTCCTAGTGGCTCAGCGTTAAGTCTGAAGGCTTATAACGCTAAAAACCAGGTTTTGATATCCGTGGTGGGCACAGCACAAATAGCCCATTGTGTAGCTTTGTACTTAATAACAAACAAACAAAATAAATTAAGAACGGGATCCAAAAGGTAAGTTAGAACATTATAAAACAAAGTATGACACAAGCAGTTAAAGACAACTAAATGATATTTTACATGATTATGTAACTTCCATTGAATTTACTTTAAAAATTGTATCAGTATTTTTATTTTAAAAGTTTACAAACGAAACATTTAGTTATTAATTTTAAACATTTAGGCTTATTAGGAATGTCGACCCTCTATTTGAATTTTATTGACTGCATCGGATCCCATGGGTCCAGGTCGTTCCGCTGTTTATGAGTATATTAACCAGAAAAAGAGGGGAAAATCAGCTTTTTTATATGATTTAAGTTTTTTCAGATTTTCTTGAGATAACCGCAATAACCTAACAATTATAAAGCAAGAAGCTGCTATAATTATATCTTGCAATGTTTCCCCATAGTGGACAGACTTCAGATGGACAGTCGTGTATCTATGTGCTAGAATAAACAAACAATATCTTGCAAATAGCAATTATAGGAAAAGAAATATTAACCTTCTTGTGATGTAATATTGCAAATATGTCAAAAGTTTGGAAACAAACTTAGCAGTACATTCTGCGTTTGTTGATAGTCCTCTTCATGAAGAAGGTTAGATGCATCAAATCGAGAAATGGATTGTTGAAGATCTCTTACTCTGTCAGTTAGTTGATGGCTATGCCTTTTTTTTTCTCTCGTTTGTCTGATAACAGTTCCTCGAGCAAACTTTTGTGACAGAAGAAGTAAGTTGTAGTCAGTTGTAGATGCCGGTTGTATAAGTTAAAATGAATAAAGTGTAGGATAAAGCTTTGTCATTTACACTTGGTAAAGAAATGTTCATTGAAAGCTGTTTCCTTCACTTTACAGTCGAGGTTTTCACAGGTTTTGAAAACTATGAACCAGTAACTAATAGTAAAGTGATAATTTTAAGAAAACTAAGACAAGTAAAATTTCACTATATACGTTTAGGATTATACATGATATATCTTCATCAGTTTGATATAGAAAAAAAAAATCACTAAAACTGGAAAAATGATGAATAACAAAGTCGGCTATGAAGTATATACCTAAAACATTATTTCATGTATAAAAATTGTCTATGTTATTGCAAAGTAAGAACAACAAAAAGAAGAGAATAATTAAAATATACAGATTACAATATTTACAACATCTTAAAAAGTTCTAAGAGAAGCGAGCTTATGTGGTGTTGGGAGTAGATCGGTGTTAAATTATTAGTGGTTTCTGTCTTTATTGCTTTTAATTACCGGTCAATTTCGGGCTTGTCTGAATCTACAATTCTGTTTTTTTTGTTTTTATTTGAAATTAAGCACAAAGCTACACAATAGGGCGTATCTGTGCTCTG